TGGCTATAAGTTTAGGATAGGTTTGGAAGCAAAAAGGATGAAGAAACCTGAGTTTTGTGCAAAACCCGGTCGGGTATGGACTTCACCCGGCCGGGTATGAAGTGACAAAGGAAACTGCTGCAAAACTAGCAAATACCCGGTCGGGTATTCCATATACCCGGTCGGGTATTCTGTGATTTCAGACCAAAGAACGTGCAGAAGACACAAAAACATGGGAAAATATTTGATTTGGTAAATACCCGGTCGGGTATGTCAAAATACCCGGCCGGGTATCCGGCATTAGGTGTTGAAAACACCTATAAATAGCCCCATTTTCCTTCACATTTCATAATCCCTTCTTCCATACTCTTAAGCTCAGTTTAGAATAGCATTTCTTTATATTTTTCTAGCTATGTTTAGTCTCCAAATGAGGAGCTAAACTTCCATTCTTGGTGTTGCTCTTGAAGCTTGTTGATTATTAAAGTTGTGAGTTATTTTCTTAACTTCTTTCCTTGAATATTAATTAATAGTTCTTTCCTTAATACCATCTCTATATTAATGTTGGGGAGTGTTGCTAAGATGACAATTAGTTAACATCTCGACATTAGTTAGAATGGTATTTTCTTCCTCTATATTAATATTGGGGAGTGTTGCTAAGATGACAATTAGTTAACATCTTGATATTAATTATAGTAGGATTCATCTTCTTTAATAATATTCTTCCTTGAATATTAATTAATTCCTACTCTTATTTCATATTAATATTTTGAACATTACTTAAAGGATCAACTAGTTTTGTTTCATATATTAATTATTACTAGAAACGATCAACGAACCGATGGTTAATCGTTGATGGTTTCACAAGTAAGTAACTTCGGTTATTAATGCATGGTCGTGGTTAATAAACTTAAGAGGGATTAATTTTGTTGGTTAAACCGAAACCGCTTGTGTTGAGGTTATCAATCTCAATTGATTTCATCAAGGAGTTAGAAAGATTAAATGCTACTATTAAATCGGTATACGGCGTTGTTCTATATTTGATTAATAGTAAGGGTTATTAATGAACGGTCGTTGTTAATAACTACCCTCGATGAAGTGGATATACTCCCCGATTGAGTATTCGAGAGGGAATAAGTTATAGATATAACAATGATCGACTGAAATATATCAACAAGTGGAAAGTAGCAATGCCAAGTCCTTCTTATCTTTGAATTAATCTCATATAGGTCGTTCATCTTAGTTTTTAATTAAATTAAATCATTCAAACCCAAAACCCCCCCTTTTCACTAAGTATCATAAAAAGAGAATTATTCCTTTCCCTGTGGATACGAACTCTACTACGCTATACTACGTATAAGTGTTTAGTATTGAAAATTATTTTGACGCACTCACGACAAGTGCACGTCACGGCAACTATATGACCGGTCTCTAGGCTGAAGGTATGCGAAAGGTTGTGCTCTGAACCCCTTTCGTACATCAGTTGTCTAATGTTGCTAGGCTTAGCAGCCCGCATACGCGCTTGACAGGATCAACGGTGCGGGTCCGTTCTGGTCTGATCATGCAGGGCCTTGCCCTTACGTTTGGCCAACTTCAGTTCGACTTTCAGAAAGGGAATAGCCAAAATGTTTCCTAAGTATGAAACTAGCTGTACAAGTCAAGATGTAAGACCGGCCTCCGGGTCGAAGGTATGCGAGAGATCAGGCCCCGAGCCCCTCTCGTACATCCGTTGTCTAACCGATGGCCGAACAGCTTGCACACTCATCAGTCATAGATCAATAGTGTGCGGGTCAGCCCGCCTTACCAAGCAGGGTGCGGTCAAGGTCGGTCCTACCAACCTTCCGCCCCTGACGGCCTAGGTGGGAAGCCAGATCCCCGATTAGTTCTCCAAGTATTCTTGAATGAAAAACGACTAAGAAAATTGAAAGAACGAATGATGCATTCAAGCTCAGGCGATAAATCAATCGCGGAGAACAACTCCAAGATCATCATTGCCCATCTTCTCCGCCTCATCATGGGTAGTCTGCATATCATGCATGCCACATCTAAAAGAGAACAAGGCCTCCTTTCGCGCCAATTGCAACCTTCCTTGGTCCGCAACTGAGCTTGGACATACTCCGGACGCCGATCCTCGATCCAAGAATTGACAAGGTTCGGAAACTTTAGGAAGACCTTGAACATGGAAACTGCCTCATCTACTATGTCCTCAACGCTCGGACATGCTTTGGTGGCTGGGCCTCGAGCCTAGATCTTGCGAACTCTGAAATCACTGGGAATGCTTTAACGCTGCAACTACCTTATGCCTTGCATCTCAGGACAACGACTCCAGCTGGTCTTACTTTGATACAGGCTCGGATGAAACTTTCATATCTTGGGTCGCAGCCACGCTTGGGTATGCTCCGATCATTTTCTCCAAGGCAAGATGTGCACCTTCAAGGCATCCTATGTTTTCTCCATCCACTCCTGAGCCTAGACTACCTGAAGCTGGTTCAAGCTCTTCTTTACAATTCAAACCAAGTACGTGGTCATGGCGAGGCCACCGATCATCACCTCACCATCCATGTCGAGTTACGCACACTCATCTCCAGCCCAAGTTCGTGCAGGGCTACCTCCAAGTCAAGTTCGTCCAGGGCTGCCCCCTCACCGAGGTTGTGTGCGTGTGACAGTGCATGGCTTACGTATGGGCTCATCGATAGGTGAGAGCCCGCCCAAGCTCCGAGCTCGGGACTCTCACTTCTAAGAATAAATCATGGTCGGTCACACATGCCATCACAAGGTGGAGATTCCGTAACTTGCGCATCTTCTACGTCAAGCTCGTCATCCTGGTATATGGCCATGTTTGTGCAGAGGAACGAGATTGTCTATCTTTCCAAACCACCTACGATCAAGCGATGCTCTCACAATGTTAGAGAGGCACGTATCGATGCATAGCTTGGAAGCCCGAATGCAATCACATGTCACCCTCGTCAATAATCATTCATCAAGACGAAGCAAAGTGGAAGTCTTGCCTTCCTCACCATCCATGATGTTCAGAGACCATTAAGATGACATGCTCTCAATGAAAACACCATCCATGATGTTCAGAGACCACAATGTTAGAGAGGCACGTATCGATGCATAGCTTGGAAGCCCGAATGCAATCACATGCCACCCTCGTCAATAATCATTCATCAAGACGAAGCAAAGTGGAAGTCTTGCCTTCCTCACCATCCATGATGTTCAGAGACCATTAAGATGACATGTCACTCCGACCTCCCTCGAATCGCAGCAGGTGGGGGGCACCTTGGGCTCCTCGTCACACGAGAAAATAGGTGCAACCCTCCGATCACTGGCATGAATGAGCAGACCTACAAAAGAACTCTCTCATCGATTCAACAAACGACAAGGAATGAGTCACCCAAGCATTGCTCTCTTTCCCTGAATCAATTCAAGGGGTCGTCCAAGCATCGCTCCCTTACTCTGCATTAGGGCGTCCCCCCTCCAAGCATCGCTCTCAGTCTGGGATCTTACATCCACCCTGGGGAAACTTGAACGACAAATGACACCGTAGTAATAGCAATCAATAGGGACTACTTATCATGGTGGACTACTCACAGCATCCTTCTGAGAACGTCAGACGAGCATTGTCACAAGTGAAGACCGGTATTTGTCATTCCCTTAGCAGATGGCGATCGTTGCAGCTTCACGCAGTGCTCGGAGGGCTCACCTTGTTGCTGAATTTGGAAGAAGACCCTGGACTGCTAATCGGATAGACAAGACCCGGGGCTGCTAGACGGAGAAACAAGACCCCGGTCTGCTAGTCGGAGAAACAAGACCTCAAGCTGCTAATCTGACAAACAAGACCCCGGGCTGCTGGTCGAACAAACAAGACCCGGACTGCTACCCAGACGAAGGAAACCAAATCCTTTCGCAAGCAGCGGGGAATAATGTGGACAGCGTGCAACCGGCTTTTTCAGAGCATGCTTCACCTGATCACCATCAGCGGACAACTGAGCTGTTGGCCTCTCCCGAGCACACCTCAGCTCGACATCATCGACAGACAGTTGAGTCGTTGGCCTCTCCCGAGCACACCTCGGTTCTGCGTCATCAACAGACAATTGTGCAACCAGTCTCTCCCGAGCATACCTTGGCTCGACCGCCTCCACTGGCAAACAACCGTAGGACTGGCCTTCTCGAAACATATCTCAACTTACCAGTAAAGCATACACTCAATCAAGAACCGAGGAGACTAGCCTTCCTTAGCTTTATTTTAAGGTTCCGGTGTACTCTTTTTCCTTTACTGGGATTTTTTCCCACTGGGTTTTTTCCTAGTAAGGTTTTAACGAGGCACCCCCTCATCATGAACAAAAGAAGAGGTCTCTCAGTCGGAACAAGGAAGACTCCATTCTTTCACAAGCAATTGGATCTAATTCAAGGCTCGCCAATGACCGACCGACCGGACCAAGAATCGGACCAATTCCAAAACAGCTTAACTACTCCCTTTTAGCCGAGTCTACTACTCGACTAAGGGAGTGGGGGACTCGTGTTGGGATAATGGGACGGGTCCAAGACTATCGGCCCATTACACCCGAGCTTTGGCTTGACCAAGCTCACATCACAGTCCGGCTAGCGGATATTGGCCCGGGATTATTCAATTACTTATTGGGCTTGCTGGCCCATTAGCGTTAGTAATAGTAGATTAATCGGGCCAGACCCACGTAGCACTTAATTGGTGGGCATATTGTATACGTCTATAAATAGGCCATCAACCCCTTGTATTCTGCTGAGTTATTCTCACTATACTGAAATGCTGCCGAATTTTCTACCCGGGTTATTTTCTACCAACAATATATATATATATATATATATATATATATATATATATATATATATATATATATATATATATATATATACACACTATCAGTTTTCCATATCCCCATGAATTCTTATTTCAAGTTCACCGTATCCAAGTCACCGCAGCAAGTGCTCTCCTGTTAGGGTATGTAACTTTTTAATAATTAAGTTTTATATGGAGTATATACTAATATAGGGTTAATCCTCTATACCTTGTTCCCGATTTCATGTGTTCTTTATTTCCTTCTTTAATTTCTAGTATTTGTTGAACCAGAAAGATCTAGTTTATACATCTCTATCATAGTGGTGTTGGAAACGAAGTATTTAAGGTTTGCTTCTTTTCTGTTAGCACGCATCCAGTGACCGATGAATCTGTTGTCGGAATAAGTGTAAGCGCAGCAATAGAATTCGCAGCTCTTGTGCCCGAGGTTAGCTTTCAAAGATAGAGACTATCACTGGATTGCTTGCTCAGTTCCTCAATCCAATTTCCCATTTTACTTCCTGACATTTTAAAGAGCTTGAATAAAAGAAAGGTCTGCTTACCCGCTTCAACTTCAAAGAGGAAGAAGGCGGCTGGTCGTATAAAAGTCTTTGAAGTCAGGTTCAATGCTAGGAAAAATGCTTTTGCTTTGGAAATTTTGAATACGAGTATGCCCCTATCCCGTAAGCCTTCCATCGTTGCAAGCCCCTTCCATTCGACCCAAGCTTTCTTTCGATTACGTCTGCTTCCTATTCTGTTATTCCCTTAGCCTTAGTTAGTCGTTTAGTCAAAGCCGTACGTATGTCCCTTTCGAATCGTTCTATCATTCGAAGTAGGAGCTGGGGTTGCGGGCAGAGAACTATGGGTATAGCGAGTTCATGTGCTTGCAGTTGGTTTACTACCACCCCCCTAACCTTTAGTATCACACTCTGTGAAGTGTCTCTCTGGTATTGGGATAACTTCAAGCCCATTAGCTCGCTTGTATCGGATCGGGGGGAGCTTACTTCACTTGTTTTCTTAAAGTAACTTGCCAGGAAGGAAAGCAGCAGATAAAGAGCACCATCACTATAACATCAAATGAAAGTTTAATTGAAATCTGGAATTTAAAGTTATGGAAAATGAAAAACACTTAACCTTGTGAACCGATGGCATGTCACTGAGTTCCCTGCCAATCCCAACCTTGTGAGAGGTAATAACTCTACATTAAAAGGTAATAAAATTAAAGTAAACCTTTTTCCTTAATTACATAGAAAGATTCTGAACTTTCTCAAAGAGATGCAAAATATTTTCCATGATGAATATTTTTGATTGATTTTGTAAGACAGCAAGGCCAAATCGTAATACTCTCCTTCATAGGCAGTGAGGCAATAATGTACTATAAGTGCGTTTTGAGTTTCTGATGAGATTGTACTTAAAGTAGCAAAATTGTGTTCTTTTTCTTTATTTCCTTTGATGATGTGCAGACAAATAACGGAAGACATGGAACCTGAGTCTAATCCATTCCCAAGCTCCCAAAATCTCACCCATGGTAATTACACAAGTCAAGCACCAAACCAGTTTACGCCAATCATACCCCAGTTCCAGTCCCCGTATCAATTTAATCCAATGAATGGCTCTTCTTTCCCTTATACTAACCTACCTTATGAACCCCATTTCTCATTTCAAGATCTTTTGAACACTCCTGATTTTTCTAGTGGAGCCACAGAAACTCCCAAGGCATACGGAGGAGGGAGAAAGAAACAGAAAGATGTCCAAAGTAGTTCTAATAATTCTCAATTTTGGAGTTCGGAAGAAGATATCGCGTTAACAAAAGTGTGGTTGTATATTCTATGGATCCTGATGTTGGTAACAATCAGAAAAGTACTGCTATGTGGGAGAGGATTTTACAAGTATGGAAGGACAACATGGGAGATAAATGTAAAAATCTAAGAAACAGTAATAGCCTACAATGTCGTTGGCAAAAAACGCAAAAATCAGTCAACGAATTCCACCGGATTTATGAGAAAATTTAAAGGCATCCCCAAAGCGGGTCAAATCCAGAAGATACTCTAAGTGTTACTTTATAAGTTTTAATTTAATATTACATTTTTTTGCATATCAACAATGTAACATCAGTAATCTGTGTTGCTAGATCTTGTATTATAGTTTTTTTTTTGTTTTTTTTGTTTTTTAGAAAAAGAAAGCAATGGTGATGTATGAGAGGCTTTTCAGTGGTAAAAAGAAAAAGGATTTCAAATACATTCATTGTTGGGAGCTTCTTATAAAGAATCCAAAATGGTGTACAAATCAGCTTACCAAAGCTTCTGCATCAGATAAGGATGATTTGCCAAATGGAAAGTCACCAGTAGCAGATGAATGTACACCCGGAGAAAGTTCTTGTAAAGAACTTGACCGACTTAAAAGTGATGAAATTGTGCGCCCCCAAGGAAGAAAAAGTTGTAAAGAAAAGAAGAGGAAGTTGAATGAAGAAATTGGAATGGTAGAAGCAATAAATAAATTCCAATGTACCTTAGATAAGCAAATTGAGTTGAAGAGGGAATACCTACAAAAAGAGTATGTACTCAGAGAGCAGGTAATGAAGCGAGAGATAGAACTCAAAGAGCACAACCAAAAGATGAGAGACAGAGCCCAACAAAGAGCTGATCAAGAACGCATTATGCACCTTGATTTGAGTAAGCATCCATCAACTGTGCGGGCCAAGTATGAAATCGTACAGGCTGAAATATTGAAGGAATGGGAAAGTGGCTGTTTTTCAGGAATCTAAATATGGTTGATATATATTTAGCCTTTTATCATCTCGTACTGATATTTCAATAGTTTTTGATTATGTTTAGTTGGATAATTAGCTTTGTTGGATGATATTTCAATATTTAGTCTTTCTTAGTTGCACACTTGCTACATTTAAATACTGGTAGTTTCTTTTTAATGGATTCAGAACATAGTGAGTAAACTTTCACATGAAATTGTATTGTGGTTTATAAGTGTTATGGATTTGATTAAGAAGGCATCTATCCTTCATTCCTTCAAACACACTTAGACTGAGTCTTACTGTCCTGTAAAGGAAATATACAGAAAAGAGAGATGGCATGTTTCCCCATTATTACAGAAGAAAAGGCTGCCACTATGGCACAAATAAAAGATGCTTGTGAAAACTAGGGATTCTTTGAGGTGATGGACCATGGGATTTCAGTTGAGCTTATGGACAAGGTGGAGAAGTTGACAAAGGATCACTACAAAAACAGTATGCAACAGAGGTTTGAGGAAATGGTGACTGCCAAGGGGCTCAATGGTGTCCAGAGTGAAATTGATGATCTTGAGTGGGAATCCACTTTCTTCTTGAGCCATCTCCCTTCCTCAAATATCTGTGAAATCCCAGATCTTGAAGATGAGTAAAGGAAGGGCATGAAGGAGTTTGCAGTGGACCTGGAGAAGCTAGCAGAGAAGCTGTTGGAGTTGCTATGAAGTCCATAAGGAGCACTTTGACCAGCTCTCCAATTTCCACTATCTAATTAATTACTCTTGAGCTACTAGTATGAAAAAAAGAGCATAATGAATAGCTCTTTTTATTATTGTGGGTTATGTCTAATGCAGTATTAATTGTGGGATCTATCAAATAACAGTACTTTCTTTCAGGGCCGGCTAGAGTAATTATGAGGCCCTAGACGGTCATGTAGAAATTTTGTTTTAAATATGTTTTATTTAACCCAATGATATAAAAAATAGCAATTAAATATAAGTAAATTACATATAAAATACATCATATACTATTAACACAGTGAGAATATTCTTTGAAATCAGAAGATCAAAGTTGATGAAAAAATACAAAGAGCCCTAGAGGGAGAAGGTTTTGTGCTTACATACAACATACCGATCGATAGAGCCGGAAAGTGATTTCATGACCAAATCATTTCTTAATTTTTTTCTTTGTCTTTGTACATCTTGATTCATATTTTGTTTTCCAATCATCACAAAACAAAAAATTTCATTCAAAATAATACTATCACTAAATATAAGTTAATGGTTCATAGATATAAATTTAATTCACTAAATTTAATCAAATATAAAAAATTATAAGTATGTTCAATATTTCGATGAATCAAAATAACAAATTACAATTTCAATTATTCAATAAGCATTCAAATATATTTAGAATACTCATTATCCTAAATCCCTAGCCCTACTGCCCTAGCCAACAAAGAAAAAAAAGGAAAAAGGAGCAAATAAGCCCACATACTAACCAAAAAGGTCAAATAAGCCCTTGTATAAGAGACTTTGTCCCGCCGTCGCCATTTGGGGCAGTTCCCGGTGGAATTTTTTGATGAAAGTTTTTTAGAATCTTATTCATTAAGTCTTGTTTACTTATACCAAATTTCAGCTAACAATTCAACATGGAAGGCATTCAAATAAATTCTTGAAGATAACTGCGCTTTTAACTGCGCAGTTATCTTCAAGAATTCATTTGAATGTCTTCCCGATTGAATTTTTAGGTAAAATTTGGTATGAGTAAAGTAGACATAATGAGTAAGATTCTAAAAAAAATCATCAAAAAATTACAAAGGAAACTATCCCAAATGTTGACGTCCGGACAAAGTCTCCTAAATAATATTAATAAGCTTATTTTATAAATTAGAGGCCCCTAAAATTTGGAGGCCCTAGACACTTGTCTAGGGTAACTCCCCCTATGGCCGGCCCTGCTTTCTTTGCAACTGAAGGTAAAATGTGTTCATTTTAGGAGGATAATAAATTTTTATAAGGGACCGAAAAAAATGTAGGAACCGAACCGAATTTAACTAGAACCGAACCGAATTTAACAACTACATTTTTAACTAGAACCGAACCAAATTTAACGTCTATGATTTTTATACGGTATCATCGAATTTTAACAAGAACCGAACCGATCTCAGGCCTAGAATTTATAGTCTTATATAAAATAAGTCAACTACCCGTTCATAATTATCATGTTACTAACTCCAATAAAGTATAAATAAGATGGTGTTGGGCATAATAATGAAGAAATACAAAGCTGAGTGTCATTTTTTTCTAAGGTGATCCTGGTCACATTTTTTCTCCTAAACATGTATTAAATTTTCTACTGTATTCCCTTATAGCTAGAACAACTACGCATTTCAAGTATATATAACACACCATGATTTTCAAATTTTGTAAACTATTCTGATGAAAAATAAGCAGGAAATTAAACATCAATTGGGAAAACTCAAATTATCAAATTATGATGAAATAGACTGAATGTTTAATAACTGAAAAAAGTAATTGATGACATTACATTGATAAGTCAATGATTATTCAGTATATGAAAAAAAATCCCTAATTCATAAGTGCTATTAAACATCAAAATAAACATTAGTCATCAACAACTTGACCACCATACACTTCCCACATATGCAACCATGTGTCTTGTACAAGTTTTGTTCGACTAGTCATCAATGACATGATCAGGGTGAAGTCATGCTCCAACGTAACGCCTTCAACAGGTTCATCTCCTTCGCCTTTCCAATCTTCGGGGTTAATGCCTTGACTATGCTCATCCTCAACAATCATATTATGTAGGATGATACATGTTTTCATTATATTTCCCAAGTCCTTAGCACTCCACAGACGAGCGGGACCTTTAACAATATGCCATCGACTTTGTAACACATCAAATGCTCGTTCTACATCCTTTCTCGCAGACTCTTGTAGTTTTGCAAATAATTTTTCCTCCACAGACGAAGGCTGAGAGATTGTTTGGATTAGAGTAGCATATTGTGGATATATTCCATCTGCTAAATAATAACCCATATTGTATTCATGACCGTGAACCACAAATTTACATGGTGGAGCAATACCGTTAATAAGATCGTCAAATAACGGCGACCTGTCTAAAACGGTAACATCATTATTACTACCAGTCATTGACTATTACATTATGCCGCTCTTTTCTATCACGTCGAATGTAAGATATACTTGATGTCGAGCCAAGAGAGCATTTTCTAGCAGTAAGCAATGTAGAAACAATCAATGGAACATTTGAAATATATTCATCGTCAAGAGAATAATCTTCGAGGGGCTCATGAAACAATTTCTTGGTAAGTTCAAGCTCACCATCACTTGAAGAAGGACTATCAGAATTTGGTTGAAAACTTGATGATGCCATATCATTACCATGAACTGTGAGAGAATGGAACAGGTTACCCCATTATGGAGTCCTGACAGATATATTTATAATGATAATTAATGTGTAATTTACATAAATGACCCTAGTCTATTACACCCCCTCAAACTGTGCGGGAGATACAACGCGCAGGTTGTCCTTTAAAAAATGAAAACGCTGACTAGGGAGACTTTTTGTAAAAATATCAGCTAACTGAAGATGAGTAGGTACATATCGAACTAATAGATCACCATGAGCAACTCTCTCTTGAACAAAGTGATAGTCAATCTGAATATGCTTGCTCCGAGCATGTTGTACAAGATTAGCAGTCAAGTACGAGGCAAAGATATTATCACATAGAAGATGGACTGGTACAGTGACAGGGAACCCGAGCTCAAACAGAACCGACCGAATATGTAGCGTGTCCTGAACAGTGTATGCAACAGTTCTGTATTCAGCCTCTGTGGAAGATTTGGATACTGTAGGTTGCTTCTTGGATTTCCACGAAACTAAATTGGGACCTAAGAAGACAGTAAATCCAGTGGTGGATCTAGAGGTATCTGGACATCCTGCCCAATCAGCATCAGAATAGGCAAGGACACACGTTGGAGTAGCTGATCGCTGAAGCCAAAGATCATGATCCTGAGTACCCTGTAAATATCTGAAAATACGCTTGACTGCAAAAAGGTGAGTAGTACGAGGTGCATGCATAAACTGAGACACTAAATGTACTGCAAAAGTAATATCAGGCCGTGTCAAAGTGAGATATTGTAGTGCACCTACCATGCTGCGATACTCAGTGGAGTCTGTCAGTAACTCACCATCAGTAAGGGTTAAAGAAGTGCGAAAAGCAAGGGGAGTACGAACAGGCTTGACTGTATGAAGATGGAAACGAGCAAGCAGATCATTAACATATTTTTGTTGAGAAAGAAAGAGTCCTCGAGAAGTGCGAGAGGCTTCTATGCCTAAAAAATAATGTAAATTACCAAGATCTTTCATGGCAAACTGACGAGAAATAAGAGAGATAAAATGAGTGACAGTAGTCTCAGAATTACCAGTAATAATAATATCATTCACATATAATAATAAATAAATGATAGAATTATCATGGCGATAAATAAACAAGGAGTGATCAGATTTACTGCTGGAAAAGTTATGCTGAAGAAGAAAACTACTGAATCTATGAAACCAGGCCCGTGGTGCTTGTTTAAGACCATAAATGGCCTTGCGCAAGCGACACATGTGAGTAGGAAAATGAGGATGAATAAAACCACGAGGCTGACGCATATAAACCTCTTCAGTAAGGTGGCCATGTAAAAATGCATTTTTGACATCAAGTTGACGGACCACCCAACCGAAGGAAACAGCTAAAGTAAGAACAATACGTACAGTGGTAGGTTTGATAACTGGACTAAAGGTTTCAGAGAAATCTACACCAGCCTGCTGATTAAAGCCTTGAGCGACTAATCTAGCTTTATGTCGCTCCACTGTACCATCAGAATGATATTTTGTTTTATAAATCCACTTACATCCAACTATATTCTTAGAATTGTCAAAAGGAACAAGATCCCAAGTACGGTTAGTAAGTAGTGCATTAAACTCCTCAGCCATAGCCTCTTTCCAATGTAAATGTTTATTGGCCTCAGTAAAACAGGAAGGATCAGTGTCGTGAACATAAGTGTGTAAGGACAAAATTTTCTTGGGTTTAAAAATACCATCCTTAGCCCGAGTCTGCATGGGATGGATGTTAGCTACCGTAGTGGGCACAGAGCAATGTACAGGAGAGGCGGGGACGGAACGTTCATCCAACTGGGATTCGTGAGAGGTGGGAGTGAAGCTAGAGGGGGAGTTAGGTGCAGTGTGTGTAGTGGAGGAAAGTGAGGACGGTGGGCTAGAAGGGGAAGAGGATGTGATGTTTGGTGTTGCGGCTGGGGTGGATGGAGTAGGTATTGGATGGCTGGATGATGGGGAAGGGGAATTATGGTTGTCTGAAAGGGGAGTTACCAATTGTGGTGTTGGCGTGCTGGAATGCGGGTGAAGGGAGGGTAGATTTGTGGTGGGAAAAGGTTAATCAGCTAGAGTGGTAGACAGGTCGGGAGGAGAAGTGTTCTTAAGATGTTGAAAAGGATAAATATTCTCATGAAACCTGACATGACGACTAATGTAGATGCGCCTAGTACTAGGATCATAACAACGATAGCCCTTATACCCCGGGGCATAGCCCAGGAAAACACATTGAACAGACCGGGGAGAAAGTTTATTAGATGATGTGGCAGCAAAATTGGGATAACATGTTGTGCCAAAAACACGCATAAAGGAGTAATCGGGTGCTTTATGAAAGAGTTTTTGAAACGGAGACAGGCCGCGTAGTCTAGAGGAGGGTAATCTGTTAATGATATATGCAGCAGTATAAAGAGCATCTACCCAGAAGTGACTTGGGACCGAAGCTTCAAGAAGCATGGTGCGAGTCAATTCGAGTAGATGACGATGCTTACGTTCAGCCACCCCATTCTGCTGAGGTGTGTCAGGGCAGGATTTTTGAAAATAAATGCCGTGAGCAAGAAAAAAAT